CCCCCCTTATTTAAAGAGCTGGAAGTAGGGGTAATTAACTATTTAACACTGGGTATTAAAATTATCAATCAATTACTATTGAACTGCTCTTTGCATTTAATAAAGATTTTACGGCCAAATTGACATTAGAGTTGAATTAAATGGGTATAAAATGTAGGCGGGAATTGAGAGTTAACGTGCGTAGTTCTTGACCTACTGTTAACGAAAATAATATGATGAAAACAACACCCATCGTTTTCTATATTCACAATTAACTGCAGGAGAAATATTCACGGCCAGTTGATTTCATTGCATAGCGTGACTGGGTACACTGTAAATAGCGTTTAAAAGACTCTCCAATAAAGTTAAAGTTATAGTAACTTTTGATGATACTTTCCTCCTGAAAATTTCAATACAAAAAAAATTCCCCTGATAGTATGTAAACCAATTATCGAATTGTTTTGAAAAAAATACTGTTGATTCTTGTGGGGAAAAAATGATTGTGTAGAAGAAGCAGTAGACCCCCCACCCCCTCCCTTTCAATAATACGAGTGAGTAGTTTACTGTACATATAATACGTTGTATTTGCATATATTCTAATTCTAAGCGATATCAGAAAGTGTAAATGGTATTAGAATATGATTGTGACATTGCCGTCTCAATACATTTACTTGAGTATAAAACTGCACCATGTAATGTCCAAAAGTATTAAACAATATAATATAGCTACCTAAAAAAAAGTACAAATTCTCTGCACATTGTTACAATAACATTTATAACAGAATTATCTTTTTATAGAAAATTAACTATCCTTTGCAAAAGCTACAAGTTCCTTTCAAATTTATGCTTCCTAACTTTAAAAGTTGAACCGTCACAATGAGGGCAGAATATCCTCTCTCATTTAAATGGGATCAGCTATTCAGAAACGTGATCTATTATTGACAAAGCCTCGTTCTGGATTGTATTTTAAAAATAGTATTGGAGGTTTCTGCTTGAAAACAGGATGTATATATTTAAGTGATCTAGAATATTTATCGAAGTTTTTAGTGCGTGCTCTTGTGCCTATTTAATGTCATTAATACTAACATTCTGCACTTTAATTCTAATGGCAGGGAACTGATTGGAGTATCAAACATGCATATCGAAGACCTGTAAGTTACATTTATGTCCTTTTAGTATTTCTATTTTCTAAAAGCGTACTTAATATAGATAAATTTTCAAGGGTTCAGTGAATGTAATTTAACACTGTGGGTAGCAAATGTCCTTCATGATTCACTATCATTCAACTATATATTTGAATCATATCCTATTTGTAAAGCATCGTTACACACTCTTGAAAAAAAAAATTAAAATCGAATGATCTAGATTTTACAAAACAGGATTATTTTTAGTTTATACGTCACCATTTCATGTTCATAACTAGTTGATAAACTGTACTACACACGTGGAATATTAGAGAGGAAATTCGGTATGATTTATTGATAGAATTTGTATCTTTCAAAAAAAAAAAAAACAATATATTATAATAATATTATTACTACTTTTGTGATTAAGGTACAAAAACAAAGTTTCAAGTATAAAAGTAATACTTTTTCATACAAAGAAGGAGATTTTTCTTTGTTTAACTTCTTGTATATATGTATCATTCTGTCTTTGTGATTCACACAGTGTTTCGAAATATACATACATACATACATACATACATACATACATACATACATACATACATATATATATAGAGAGAGAGAGAGAGAGAGAGAGAGAGAGAGAGAGAGAGAGGTGGGTGTGGGTGAGAGATAGAGAGAGAGAGTTGGACATGGTTAATTAATGAGCTTTTGGCTTTTCAATTTCAGAGTAAATTGGAATGATTGTCAGACGTGGAAGGGTTAACCAAAATATTTGTCATGTGATATTGGCAGCACTACTCTTTATTTCCTCTCATTATGAGGTATAAATCTTATCTTTATGTACATGTATTTAATTTTTATCTGTCTTTGATATAATTTAATATAATTTAACATAATATATGATAAAATGTATAGGAAGTCTTCCATAAAGCACAATTAAATTTGTGAACGAATTAAAAAGAAGAAAAGACAATCTTCCCAATTTCTTTCAATTGTGGTTAATGAAAATGATTCGAATCAAAACAGAGACCTGATTTTCATTTGGTTCTTAATTTTTTTTTATTCTGACGTGAATGGCAAGTCTAAATTATGTAGTTCCTGTGATGTTATGTTAGGATAAAAAAAACAACATTTGCATCATTGTTAATTCCTTTAAATTTAACATTTATGAATTAGTTTCATTCGGAGAACAATTGCTTTTGATAAGCAAGATCTGGAAAAAAAGGTTCTCTTACTCAAATAATTACATGTATTACAATTGCATTTATTTCTCATTTAATATGCAAAACATAAAACTCAATTTTATATCAGTTAAACCAGAAACAAAATGTTTGTAATATGTCAAAGGATAACTACACTTAACGCTGGGTTTTGAGTCTTTTTCCGTCACTTCTGTTGCTTTTATATCTTAACCTTATTTCACTTTTGTACATTTTCTAAAAAATCTGACAATTAGGCACCAAATGTAAATGTAAAAATGATTTTAGACTGTGATACAACAAAATAATTCTATATTTTTGTCCTTACTGCTTTCTTAATACATGTATAGAGGATTTACACTTGCCTGCCCTTAATGAAACATTAGGTATGCATGAGAGATGGAGCTAACATTATAAGAATGGCTCTAAAATTAGACTAAATAAATAATAATTACACATATAAAAATACGAGATTACTCTTTCCCATCTCTTTCTTTATTCCGTATGGAACAAGTACACTATTAGCAAAATATATTTCACCCTCCACACAGAAAATGAATGGCCTGAAAAAAGATCGATTGATTGAATGTTGTTTTACATCTCGTTCGAGAATTTTTCACTCATAGAGACGTCACCATATACCGGTGAAGGGCTTCAAATTTAGACCAATCCTCGGCACTCAGGGCCATTGAGCAGTGAGGGTTCTTTATCGTGCCAACGCCTACTGTGACAAGGGGCCTCCTTTTTAAAGGTCTCATCCGAAGGACCCGCACCTTTCACTTCAAGGTGCCGAGCGCTTGGCAAAGGAACAGTTACTACCTATTTTTTTACCGACTTAGGTCAGTCGCGGTCGTGATTCGAACACACAATCTTTCGATGACTGAAAGAAGAAAAATACTCTCTATTAAATTCAGACGGTGAGGAACATTATGGATTACGATCGACGGGGAATTATGTATATTCTCTGCTTCCTACAATGTAAAGCGACATTTTGAGGACTGAAATTTGAATCTGATATAAAAAAAATATATTGACGGTGACTAGTCCTTCAGTCCAGTTAAAAAAAACCAATGATGATGCTTAAGAGACGTCTGATTTTTACCCTTTTGCTTTTCCTAATAAAATTCACCTGGCTTGGTATATTTTTTCAAAGTTTATATTACACTTGTAGCACCAAGCTAACATATTCTGAAATTTATTTTTAACTGTAAACCTTTACTGAGTGGGATTTTCCATTTTTGTAAGTTTATTGAAGAATCAACTAATACTTTCCAAGTATCATTTCTTTTATGCAAGAAAATACAACAGGTTATTGAGTAAATGTAATATCAGTTCACTCTGTGCTCCTTTATAGAAAACAGTTTTGGAGAAAAAAGAGGTAAAATGAATGAAGATGAAACAATTTTTCCATGATTACTCTAGTTGTGTACTTTTGGGGGGAAATATGGAAGTATTACATTCTCCAAGTCTAGAAGAGAAAACTCAAAGAATTATCCACTTTTCTAAAACTGTGACATGATAGTTAGTCTCCTCCAAAGAAAAAAAAATGTTTGTGTCATCTGTACTTAGCATTAATAAATATGATTTTAATATAATTTTTACAAACGTACACTAATTTGAGTATCACTGAAAAAAAAAGATTGACTGTAGTAATATTAATTTTTAATACATAAGGAGAAAATTCTGATACTTTGAATAACTGTTCTAAGAAGAATTCATATTATTAAAAAAAAATACTGTACATCACCAAATTTTCTCGACACCTTATTTTCGCGAGATAGATATTGGTATTGATAAGCGAGACAGCATTTACACGAATGTTTGTTATATATCCTATGCAAATAAAAATATACGCGAGAATGAAATTTTCGCGAGCAGACCATATCGCGAAAATTGCGAGAAAATAAAATATGGCAAAATTAAAGGTGACTTACAATAAAGGAAGCATTTTTAAGTTTAGGAAATATTTTCATATTTTGATATTTTGCTGACTTTAAATGATAATGGATAATTAATAACTAAACTGTATGACCAGGGTGTTTTCAGCATTTCCATCGTCACCTTCCTTTATTTATGTAAAATATTTCAAGTTTATTTGCATGTGGTGTTTGCATATCACAACTGATTCTGAAAGCAATAGCATGATCTGAGAACGATCATTGTTCTTTTCTTCACCTTTTACATTTCATATTTTCATTTACGGTATTAAGAACTTTCAAACCTTTTGTTCAAAACTTTAAACTTTCATTCAAATTTAAAAAAAACGTTAAATTAAAGCAAGTATTTCTTCCAAAAATAATATCTTTGCTTGGAAAGTTCGGATGATACAAATCTAAATCTATCTCATTGAAAACAATTATGATACTTCAAAAAAAAAGAAGAAGAAGAAGAAGCAATGATATATTTTTTAAATCATTAAAATGGACATCAGTCCTTTATATGTCATTTCTGTACAGAATTGACTTACTACTTTGTTTTCGATTTCTTAAAGCAAAAATATATCATAAGGTAGGTCTGAGTACCATTTAAGAAAACGTTTGTCTGTTGTTTGGTGTTGTTTTTTTTTTTTCTAAAAAAAATTGAATTACATTTTAAACTAAACTGATGTACATGCTTGCTTTCAGGTGGAAGTATTCCTCTTTGTTGAAAGTCACATACTAATTCAATTATGTTTTGACATACATGGTACACAGGTTGTTAGTAACAGAAATTGTCCCCAATCCAACATGACTGTCGAATATGTGGACCATTGTCCAGGAACAAAAGAGGAGTGGATGCATGCTGCCGTGAGAAAGAATTGTTCAAATATCAAGCAAGACTGTGTTAAGTCAGAACAATTTCAATACCACTGTGTCATCAATTCGTTCATAAATGCGACTATGGAAGTTTGTGCCCCTACTTGGTTTTGTATAGGTTTGATTTCATGTATCTAGCAAATCTAGCAAAAACAGGACTTAAAATGAATTTTTTTTCTTTATTTTAATGATTTAACTTTAAGATTTTCCCTGGACAGGGTTTTGTGCAGAATATAACCTGCAAGGAGAACGAATCCAGGACAACATTGATGCACCGTGTACAACATTCTCCAATCCTTGCCCGCAAAGATATCTATCTTCTGAAGCATACCTATGTGAGCAGTTTGACAAAGATAAATAATGATTTCTCTACAAAATCAATATAGCAACACTTTATTAATATTTCTTCATTCAAAATTCTGTTACACAAAAAAGTAATCTATAAATGCATCAAGAAAGATGAAGCAATATTAAAATCATTCATAAAATGTTACCAGAAGTTAACAGTAAGGAAAAAAATGATTACAAATGCGTTCAGTACCTCTTATTTCAAGTTGTTTTTTTACTTAAACACAACACTTTTTCATACTAAGGTAGACATAAGTAAAACATAAATACGAAGGTTGTTCGAAAAGTTCGGGGACAATGTCAATCCTCTTTATACTACTTTCAAGAAATAAAATATAAGCTCATTATCATATGTAAAAAATATTTATTTTGTCGATGTGTGAAGTTTCATTCCATTCGATTTAAGGTATCTGATGTACAATTGACTAAAAAATGATGCATGGTAAGGTATACATCCCATATACTCATTTGATAGGTATGGGTATAAAGTTTCTAAAAATAGAATTTTTTCCCGCCAAATTACTATGGGGAAGTAACTCCAGCATTTGAAATATAATGCAGGAAAACATGATATTTTTCTGGTGATGTCCAAAATCTGTACAATATAATTGATATTTGGTAAAATATGATTGATGATAATAATAAACAATATATTTTTGAAATAAAATAACTAATTTTATCTTTCTCAATTATATTTTGAAGAGAAAATTTCCAATTTACCCCCCCCCCTCCCCTTGACACACATACAAGAAATAATATTGAAGAAAGGAGGATTGTACCTAGTTTATTACATGGTTATTTACACATCAATCACTGTGTTTTTCTGCTCTTTAAAACCATTATGAATATTGAATTTCCATACAAGTTAATTTTGTTTAATGAATAAAAAAAAATATTCATTTTTATAAGTAAGAATTTTTTCTCTTATTGAACATGATTGTGTTTTATGTAAGTAGCTATGACAATGTCATCTAACTAAGAATCATACTGCATCAAACAAAAACAGTAGATGGATATTACAATGTGTAAAACAGTAGCTTATTTACAAAATACATCAAGTTTTGGGTTCAAATACATCACATTTCACAATAGGTGCTAGCATAAAAATCACCTACTACTCATAGATGCCAAGCACAGGTCAAAACTTGCAACCTTTCACCAGCAAGTTGTCGTGTCCCAATATGAGTGAAATATTTTTGAAGGGACATAAAGCAAACAAGCACAAGTGCAAATACTTATGGTACTCATAAAATTGAATACTATTCAAAAAAAAGTAACAAGTACAAAAAAAAACTTGACACAACGAGTTTTTCACACAAAAACTATGAGTGCAGAAATTTATGGTACGCATAAAAATATCTTTTCCTAGTAACAGGTACATTGTTATTGTGAGAAAAAATGACACAACTTGGGTATTACAGTATCTAACACTTTACAGTCATTGGTCACTCTTGGTTTACCATGAGAGTTTTTTGCACAAAAAACATTACGCAGACCATCTTCGCCTGCACGTTTATGAATTATTTTCAAATGATGCAAACCAAGTCCAGAGCCTGCAACATTCTCTGCCATGTTCATTTTTAGAACACCATTGCCAACAAGAGCACTCAAAGATGGCAGATACAAGGCTTTTGCCGCACTAAACTTTTCTTGAAGGAAATGTGTTTCTGCATCATATGCAGATTTGGACAGATCAGATTTACAAATAGCAATAGATAATATTTTGGAAAGCATTTTCACATCTTCTACAGCATCATGTGCAGAATATGACTCTTTACAAAAGTGCTTAGCAAGATATATCTGTGTATACTTTTCTAGTTTTTTATGTTTTGATCGAATCAAAGACAACGAGTCAGTAAAACCTGACACATTTTCAAGAAACTGTTTCTGTAAACCAATCCGTTCAACAGCATAGGAAAGGACTCGGAAATCAAATACTCGACCGTTGTGAGCTATGATGATGACTCCATTATTCCTAAATGTACTCAACCAGGTAAGAAAATTTGAAACTGCGTCACGAATGGGAACTGCAACAACTTTGGATCCATTAGCATAAACTGATGTTCCATCACAGACTATTCCTGTCGTTTGCTCTGCTCCAGGCTCTATGGGTATTTTTGGTAGAACATAAGTCGAGAATGAATCTCCAGACTCCATCTCCACAGCACCAATTTGAGTAATATGAGGCATGGCTCCTTGTCTGACTACAGAAATACAATTACTTCAATTTTTACTTGATATTTTAGAGTATTTATAATGATAATACAAGCAACCACTTTTGCTAAAAATAGGATAGGCTTAAAATAATGAGCAACTTACTAAGCCCAGTTGTTTCCAGATCAAAAACAATGAATGTTGGCTTCATGTTCTTCAGCTTTTGAACAGCACTAAATGTTGGCTTGGTAATGGGATCTGGTACTTTTTCAATGTCAGCTTCTGCACCAAGACCAACCTCTAACAATGCAAACATTGTTATTCAAATTGTTAGCATACATATCTATATAACATAAAGTATTTGCTTTCCTACAGATTTTACTTTCTTTTATTAAGAAAACATATATTTCAAATCTACTAGAATAGTTAACCTGATTGATAAGTGGACCCCTCTGAAGCCTCAAATGCATCCTTTTGAGTTGCTCTTTCTTGTTTTAGGATAAGACGACGACGTTTGGTCTCTGGTAGTCTCATCTTTTCTCTTTTCTTTTTCCTGTCTTCATCTACTTTGCTAGAGAACTTCATGTTGAAATGACCCGGAGACAGACCACTTTTACTAAAAGCCTGAAATCATAAAATATAGATGAAGACATTTTTAAACACAATTAAATATCTGGTATATCCTTATTAAAGTGGCACAATTACATGAATTATCTTTTCTTTTTTTTTTAAATTATATGTTTATTCACCAATGAAGGACCCTTGGGGGCATATACAATTATTTCATTTAGATCACAATTAAATGATATTGAAATATAGGAATAGGATAGAATGTCAATCGTTTCTATCATGGAGATACAAATGGAAGACATCAAATACCACAAGAAAGACACTCATGAAAATGCAAGTAATAATTAAAAAACATAACTGAAATTTGTAATGACCAACTCAATATGAAACAAGCAAACAACTTACAACCCAATGAAGAAACAAAAGAACTAAAACTTCAACACCAAAGCAGAACCTCTGAGAGATATTTCCTTCCAACATTTATGCTTGCAGCTGTTGCATGAATACGAAAGTCAAGGCTCTCACTCTCTCCATAATGCAAGTGCTTAGGGGCTTTGAGCATTGCTGCACGATTGGCATACTCACATGCCTGGCTTGAACCCAGGTCCACATACATGGCCGACTTAGCTATTATTGGTTCAAAAAGCAAGGTTAATTTCTCACGCAGTAAAGGGTCACTGAGTGGTGCTTTGTATGGCAAACTTCGATGACTATATTTCGCTGAGTTTCCTACGCGCTTGTAACCACAAAAACGTGCATGACAATTACTGTGTTCTCCAAACTGGTGAGGAATCAGCGCTTTGAGGTTCTCCCGCATCCCATCTACATCACCTTTGTTTTTGCTAAATATGTACTTGATACACTTATGGAGATGCTGAATAACCTGATTACTGAGACTAACTTCCTTTCTGTTGCGTAGGTCATATAAGAGTTTGACAATGTTTTTAATACAATGATTTCTGTCAAGCTTTTTTTTAACAGTCACACCCATATTCTTTTGCAAGCGTGCAACAAGTGTGTTATCGCCATCACCCTCTATAATTTCAACAGGCGTACCTTGTTGGATCATGTCTTTGATGGCCTTCAGGCCTGCCTCACTTTCCATAGCCCTCGCAGACCCTTTATGATTCCACACACAGCGATGTTCTCTGACTTTTAGCCCTGTTCTGTTTCTTCTCCACCATTTACATACTCCACAAGTAAGGTGCTTTATGACAGTCTTCAGAACTTTATTTTCCTTGCTCATCATAAATGTATGACCTGTGAAAAAAATTCCATGTTGCATAAAGTTATTTATTAACAAACTTTCAACACTTTAATAAAAAATGTATATAATTATTTTTCTGAATTTAAAAATATGATATAAAAAATATATGGAAAAAATCAAAGACAATTTATCAGTTATAATTGCTTTATTTAACATATTCCCCAGGGAATTCTTTTTTTAACTACCTGTTAGACTGTCAAACCCCCTTTTCTGCCACCCATGATCGATGCAAACTGTCATGCCTCTACGACTTTTAGGAGCAAAGGAAAGTTTCTTTTTCACTGCCGGATGTATCTTCTGTGTTTTATGGCCATCATGAGTGAAGCCTGGCATTCCTGAGCTATATAAAAATAAAAGTGAAAATAATTTATTTATATGACTATTTTTTTCAACAATATAATATCTGTCTAATTCATCAATTCTCATTCCAAAGAAAAATAAATTACCCTTGGTGATGATCAATTGTACAAGAAGATGCATTTTCATTTTTTTGGAAACTGTCTTCTGCGTTACAATCTGGCACAACTTTCTTTTCATCAAATTTGAGTTTGGACCCTCCAGAGCTACAACACATTACCATTATTGATCATATTTCTATATGATATACAAAAATTTTATAATTTTTTTCATCAGTATTGGTGCAGTGCCTATTCTAAATTTTGATATTTACCAATGGTCATGATCAAGGGAATCAAGTGAGGAATCATGGTCAATTTCATTGCAAACTGATTCCGGCATTCTGGAAACATCCCTGTAAAGAATAAAATCAGAAGTAATACAGGTTAACACTGTTATGTATTCTTCATTGTTGTGATAACGATAATAATGTTAAATGAAAATTTACCCGATAAATTCATCAGGAATTACTGCTACCCCCAAATCAGTAAACTCCTCTTTAAAATCTCCCTCTTCTTTCTGTGAAACAGCTCTGAAATATACAGTTATACATGTAGTTATGTTAAATTTATGTTGCATTTGTATTCAAAACATTTACCTGTATTACAGGTATTTTATTTAATACATAAACATAATTTTGATTACATCATTTCTTTCTCAAAGGCCATCATGCTTTCTTCCTTCATGTTATCTTTGGCATATTTCTCAATAATCTGCCCAGCCCTCCTTTCCATAGTTTTCAAACTTCTGTTATTTATGAATGGTAAATCTAATGTTGTAAGCAGATTGTTCATTCGCTGGGGTCCACCGACATTGTCAATCATGGCTACAAGGAATATTTGTTTGTTATTCCTTTCAAGCTTTTAATAAAATTTACAACAGAATATAACATCATTAGGACAATAAAATCAGAGATATTGGCAAACAACATAGCTGCACCAATTTTTGTATTTATACAAAAACTCGGCATCCCCTTGCCATGCTCTTCGTCTCTGTGCGTTTTCCCATAAGGAATCCTGTTGGGCCTCAGACAAAAAGTACATTGGACATACAGATACCCGCCCAGTCCAAGTTTCATCTCACCCTTGATGGTTCTTTTAGTAAGGCAAAGAGGCCCGCATTTACAGTGCCTGCAATTTTCCAGGGCATCTATAACTGACACCAACTCTATCACCCGTCTTCCACTTCGCCACCCGTTTGCACTAAAATTTTTGCTATTGATCAAACTTTTCATACCAGGAAAACACGTTTCACACGTGTCCCCTTCACAAATATGACCAGATATATAGTTATGGTCGACTAACACATTAATTTTTGACGACTTTTTGAAGCGACCTTTTTTATTCCGCTGCAACATGGACGCCGCCATATTGAAAACTGTTTATAACAACGTCACGAGATATTTAGATATTTTGGTTTTTAAACTTAAAAATAATTTTCGGGTATCAAATTCTACATAAAATTGTTATATATGAGTATTAATCCAGTTGAATGAAAAAAAAATATGCATTTAAAGATTTTTTACTTTCCCCCGTAATCTACCGAGGTCATTCCGGAAAATGCCGAGCTCTCATGCTCAATTGTACATCCGATACCTTAATAGAAATCAATTTACTTTATTGTAAAATCAACATAATTGATAACCCCGGAGCAAACTAAACATTATCACGTCAAAAATATAGCGTCATGAGGTTCTCAAAATATTCTCCCGATACATTTCACACAGTCTGGTCCAATATCTGCTTATTTAAAACGTGGCTCTATCAAGTAAAATTCATTTTGAGAACAATTGTTCCAGTATAAAAATTTTGATCGTCAATGTTTTATTTTTTACCGCTTAACTATGCTTTCACAAGACCAATAACTGTGAAACGCCTTTCTCTTTCCAGGACCTTACTAACTGAACGTTTTGGGTTGATTCTTTAAGGGTAATCCGTTTTCTCACAGATCGTCCTCGTCTGGTGCAGAGTCCCTATCATTCAAATACCGCCTGGGCCATTTACACACATACAGTCCCTGAAACTTTCTACTTTCCCACTTGAACGGTGAGCGAACGCTGAACGAACGGTGAACGAACGCTGAACGAACGCAGAGCGAACGGTGAGTGAACGATCTGTGAACGCTGAACGCAACTTGGTGAACGATGTGTGAACGGTGAACGGTGAGCGAACGCAGAACGCGAACGGAGCGCAAACGCGAGCGCAAAGTGAACAGTGAACGCAAGATGAACGATTTATTCGGAATGCCTCTGATCTTTTCCTTGCATTGAAACTATTTTATTGTATTCTAATGCCTGGTGCTAAAAAATAAATAAATAATAAATAAATAAACAAATCAATGAAAATTGTCCTCAGAAAGACGATACATGCACATTAAGTAAAATTATTAATTTAAGTTTTTTACAATATTTTCTGCACATATGTACGATGTTTAAATTCAACTTTTGATAATACAATTTTTATCGCTGTAAAACATTGTAATTGTTACCGAACGCTGTAGTATAACAGATGAAATTAATCTAGTTGTAAAATAAATATGTTTATTCTTATTTGATATATAAAACCATTACAAATAATGTGGATTTTAGAAGAGAAAACTACGGACTTATAGAATGAATTACAATGGTTGTAACAACCATAAAAGGCGATTCCGTGTAAAATAATGAGAAAAAAAAATATTTTACAAAGGTATGTGGACGTATTGCATAAATACACTTTAATGCAATAATTTATTTATGTGTCAGTTTTATTTTTTATGATGATATATTGAGCAGACTTCTACATGTATCTGTAGACTTTCCCGGCCGTGGTTATACTCGGACAAGATGATACAAGGAGGCAATCATATTATTTGTTATATGTTAAATTTTCACAACTTGATATTTAAGTAATATGCTGTCATAGTTTTTATTAAACAGACAAATGAGAGAGAGAGAGAGAGATTCGGTTTTAGCCCCCCCCCCCCCTTCCTCAAATGTTTGTACCTATATCAAACAGAAATTCTAATTTTTTTCTAAATATATCAGGCAGTGAAAGTAACCATTTTTTTTATCAACAAATCCATTTGTTTTACAGTCATAATCGGTTTTTGTTTTCCTGCTTCAAGTTCACACGAAGTCCACGTGCATGACCTGTCAATCAAAATCATTCGACACTGTGCAGGTGTTAAAGTCTCGTCACACCGAAGGCAAAGTGTTAGTATTTCCAAGAAGTTTTAACATTTTTTTCTTATCATTTCTAGATCTGATTCCAACATTTCTAATATAAATAAATAAATAAATGAATAAAATACATTGGGAATAAATACTTGGAGTAATTAAGCCGCTTGAATTTGAAACATACTACCTGCCAATTTAAAATATCACGGCCGGCACATGTATATTTTGAACTACGATTGTTTAATGACTGTTTAGATGCATGTTTGTTTTGAGACTGAATTTTTTGTGCTACAAAACACATTAACTTCTTTTTAAATGTTAATTAAAATGTACTGGAAATACTAAGTAACCGATTAAGGGGAAAGGGGGGGGGGCTCTTAATAATATCGAATGACAAACATTTAAAGTTACGGTGAAAAATATCATTACTGGAGAATCGCTTTGGTTATATAAATGATAATCATGTTATAAAGGCATCTCTCTCTCTCTTTAATTAAAGACTTTATATATGTAAAGTTGAAAAAAATTCTTTAATGTATTACATTTTAAACAAATATTATTTTTTTTTAACCACACTATCAATTTAATTCGCTCTAAAGATATTTAATTAACTGGATATCTGCAGTACTGTTTGTCATTCTCAGAAAAAGTTCTAACATGTATTTCTGTATTATTTAAAAAAATGTATATAAATAAATATTTTCGTATTTTTGCTGCAGTTGGTAAATTATTTGACTTCGATTATTATCTATCCATTAACGATTTGTCGTCTTTAACATAACAACAAAATGTTGCAGTGCTTGAAGTATCAGTATTTTGCCCGTATTTAAATTTAATTTTTCAGCGTTAAGCATTGTTCTACATAGGTACATACATGTACTTATAACAACATTTATTTTCCAGATAAATTTTATCAATAACCTAACAGCTAAGTTAGAATAATAAAAATAAATATTGTAGATAATTTTTTTCCCCATGAAATAATGATTCTTCAAACACGGTATGTTAGTTATTAAATTCAAAACCTGTAAATCCTTACTTAAAAAAAAGATAAGTCCTTTCACTTCGGAGTTCCGAATGACACTGAAGACTGAACGATTAGTGAACGCTGAACGCAAGGTGAACGCAAAGTGAACGAACGAAGAGCGAACGGTGAACGCTTTGTGAACGGTGAACGCGAGCGCACGGTGAACGCTGAACGCAAAACTGTGAACGGAGAGCGAACGGTGAACGCACGGTGAACGAACGGTGAACGCACGCTGAACGAACGGTGAACGAACGGTGAGCGAACGGAAAAATGGGAAAGTAGAACGTTTCAGGGACTAAACATGCATGACCCGCTTTTGAGATTTTTCATGCTTCTTACAACATTTTCAGATTTTATTCTAACGTTTTCCAGAGTACAACAAAAAATGTATCGCTAACGGCTGTTCCGTGACGTTCTACGACTTTGTTATCTTCAGAAATTGATTTCTTTTCCACGAAGCCAACTATTAAGTCCAAATTTGTAATATCAAACGATGAACAGTTCTTAATTTGATCATCTAGATTTATTTTGGTTTTGAGCTATTTTACAGAGAATATGACTACAGACATTAATTAGTGTATTGTTGTAAATTACTAGATTTTAACTTGCTCCGCGAACCAATTTTCGCAGTTTTTAACTCAAAATAAGTTTGAAATAAATCAAGATATTCTAAAAAAAAAATTAATACAAATCGTTTGAATTTATTGTTAAAATATTTCTACCAAATTTGGATATAATATGACGTTAAATAAAGAAGATATGACAGAAGTCCATGAACTTTCCGAACAACTTTCGTATAATGTACAGTGTTGAAAGAATAAAAACAAAGTTATCAGTATCTTATTATAAAGCCATAAAATATAAATTTACGATATGCTTTTATAGAGGATAAAAGAATCATTGATCTAGATCATACAGATTTAAAAAAATAATAATAATAATTTGTATAAAATAAATCCTCAATACATTTTAAACCGTTCATCAAATATTTTACATATTCCTGTACAAAATAATACAGACAAAGAATGTTATGACCTTGTGGATGACAACTCAATTCCAGAAAAGAAAGAAGAAAATGAAAGAAAGTGAGATATTTTACATCCTTAAAAAGTTGTTCACAAAATGTTGCCGTATCACCAACAATTTGCGTTGTATGTCTGCCTGTGTTAGCAATGATTTATCTATGTAATAATGAGTATTAAGTAACCAAATAAGCTTGGGAACCTTTGATTCCTTTCTTAATTTTGATGATAATATAAGGAAGCAGATCGATCAAGAATGATAAGTAATACCAAAAAAAATTAACATTTAACAATTTTAAAGGTGATAAGATTGTAAACAAATGGCATTTTCTCATTCCAGAGACATTCCGGTAAAGAAAAACGACAAAACTGCAGATATTGCAATAATAGCTATCGCAACTGTTTGCCTAATTGTTGTAGCACTACCAACAACGATTTTATGCTACAAGAGAAGACGTCAAAATATGGAAATGTTTTGTGTTGATATTCATCTTAATTACTAAAGTTTTAGACTCCACAAACAAAGCTTGATATTTACATATTTTTTTTCGTTTAATATTCTGCTGCAGATTCAAATATAACCTCTTACAATTAAATTAAAAAACAAACTTTTTTTATATTTTAGGAAGAAGACAAGGCCATTCTTTGAAAGAAACTAAAAAAATGATATCAGAGTCACATATATGACGTTTACACTAATATTTTAATGGATTCCCCTCATTTAATTCTGCTCAATTTTACATATAAAGAGATTTTATTTTTTTTCTTCTTAAGGCAAATTTGTAGATATGCAATTCTCTTCAAAAGCCTAGAAATCAAATCTTACAATTTCCTTAGCTAAAATTGGACGATTTGGGGTAAAAGCTGAGTTGCATTTTTTTTATTTACAAAATAAATTAATGGCTCAACAGACAAGATTTATCACTTAATTTTTTTTTTTTATATGAATTAGGATATACCCTTTCGATATTGAAATATGTTTATGACCTCCATGCACTACACATTTTATGCATTGATCACATGACTGTCAATCAGTGGACCAAACTAAATTCAATACAGAGTGGAGTATACTTTGTTATTTTAATGAATATTGAATTCATGTGAAAAGAGCTTTACAAAAATAAATTCATTTTAAAAAGGGATTATTTGTGCACGTCTACATTCTGTTGATTTCTTCTAGCCTGAACAGTGCTGCAACTGCATATATGTACAACTCAACTCAGTCTTTCAATCTATACATATGCCCTTTTGCATGTATAGTGTAATGAAATATGAAGGCTAGAATTTTCGCTTTTTCAGAAACATTCAGGAAACACAGTTTCCATTTTGACAAGCACTGCCAAACACTAAGGCATGTTTATCATTCTTGTTGATTTCTCATTTAAACACCCATTTGTCTCGGCCTTTTGTCTGCCCATAATGAGCTTGATAATATTCCTAGTGGGTTTCAGGACAAATATTTTGAACGCATTATGTAAAATGGGAATAAGATTAATCTTATTGATTTTGAAAACTTACTAAATTCTTAACACGCCAAATTCTTGTGGAATCTTTTAGAAAGCAGACGTATAACCAGCAGGTCTTTTTCCTTATCTGAGCTGTAAGCTCAATAAAGCTCTTCTCATGACGGCGTCTGCAAATGATCCCCGATCATTATTCGACGATGAAAAAATGAACCTTTTGCCCGTTGAAAAATTGAAAAGTGACAATTTCCTTAAAATTTGCATAGCTTACATGAGGAAAAAACATGAATACGGACCTCTTTAAAAGCTTGTAGATTTTGTTAGGTATATATAAATACTTTTCATTTCGGTTAAAAAGATTAAAGAGTATAAATCAAAAGATCTGTAGACGAAAATACCCAGCTGAAGTGTAAGTAAAACATTGCATATGTACCACAATGATTACCACAATATAGACAAGTTTTGAAAATTAATTGTGCTATCCTGTATATATAAAGGACATTATCATAAAGGGGTGCAATGTTGGTTTCAAACAATCTTTCGAATAAAATTTATTTTCTGTTTTGATAAAATGACAACAGTCTAAGTCATGAGGAAATGCTTCCATTTTGATTTGACAAAGGAATTTTTATTTTAAGAAGCTTTTCTTAAAGTTTAAGAATAAAAAGTTTTCCCTTCTTTATCCCACAGAGAGAAAGAGAGAGAGAGAGAGAGAGAGAGAGAGAGAGAGAGAGATGTTTACAATGTCTGTTTACCGATTAACCGAGTGGCGTTTGGGTGCATGTATTTTTATGTCAATGATTTTAACAGTTACATACATGTACTTTAGGATATTAAGTAAAAGTGTCCTACAATCTAAATGAGAAGAATTTTGCAATCTTTTAGATACTTTTGGTACATTTTCATTGAAACAAGCATTTATTAACTATCCATTTTAATTAGTAAACACAAGCGTGAGAGGCAAATAGTTTTCAACTAGATTGCAAGTAAAACTTCCATGACGTAAAAATTATTATGTAGAAACATCACTGCGTAATGGAAAGTGCTGTTAAAATCTTACTACTTTTTCACGGAAAAAATTATTATTAAGTCTAGCTTGAAGCCTTACCCAAATGTTTACATTTTGTACATATGATCGAGGATTTTTTTTATCAACTCATGTTCATCACACGATTCTAGCAGCACTTTCCAAGTGCTATAGAATATAAAATACAAGCTTTCAATATCTACAAACATTTTGTTTCAAAGTGTGTGTGTGGGGGGGGGGGGGGGGGGGCGTAGTGTTGAACTTTTGCATCTTTGTTGTAAAGAACGGCGGAAGAAAGACTGATCGGGATTTCAAAACACTGTCTGTCTTCATCCACAGGACGAAAGACCATCTTTAAGCAATCGCTTAATGGTGGCTTAATGGTAGCTTAATGGTGGCTTATAGAAGTTAATTCCTTTAAGCCACCATTAAGCCACCATTAAGCTGCAGCTTCTAGGTGCTTAATGTCCAAACTTCATTAAGCTACCATTAAGCCATCTTTAAGCTGCAGCTTAATGGTGACTTAATGTCCAAACTTAATTAAACCACCTTAACGCATCCAGTATCAAGTCTTTAAACTAACTTGTAAAGTTTGAAGTTGTTTCAGTATCATTTCCGCAAATACTTATTCAATTCATAATTTTTTTTTCGCTATTTCCAACATCTTTGTCAATGCGTATAAACTCGGGAACTGAGAACAGCTTCATCAAATGCCTTAAAATTTTCGCTCCCTAAAATCAGTTTGTTTGAATACTTGTTTTAAAATTATTTTTATCCATAAATACATAATATATATTAATTTAAAAAAAACAACAACATATTTTTCTTTCGTGTTTGGAGAGCCACGTTCCACTGCCGAATTCATAGGAAATGTAATTAGAGTCATTTTCTTCTGGAATATCTTTGTCTCTTAATTTTTCTTTGAATAGAGAAAAGTTTAAGATATAAAAAAAATATATAGGTAGATTATATTGCTAACCTTTGAATTAATTCATGGTTAAGTGCCATTATTTCTTCCTTTCTTTTAAAATACTGCAGAAGTAAGAATTTATTTAAGATAATGCAGAAGTAAGAATTTATTTAAAATAATCCAGAAGTAAGAATTGATCAAAATATAGTAGGTCTTCAATGATTGTTATTTCAAAATCAATTTTCAGAAGAGCAGCCGATCAGATTAAACAGGGTATCCGACCAGATTTATACACATTGAGAAACGGGGTAAAATAATCAGTGTACAGTATATCGACTAGTTAGACAATAGACCTTAATTAGGTGTCCCCACCAGTCCCCGGTCAATTAACAGGAAACTATACACGGGAACGTACAGTGATAGATTTTGATGATTTATTTTTTACAAAACTTAAAATTTACGCAAGCATATAACAAATTAGAAATTATGATTGTACACTAAAAGACAATTATTTTGATACCCATAATGATATAAAAAGAAATAAAACTGAAGATATGTTACAAAAATATTTTATAACTTAATTGTTACGCAAAGATTGTCAAAAATCGTAAATGTCCGCAGCATATTAATAAGAACTATATCTGTTTTTTTTTTTTTCCCAATCGTTCTCTTTCGATTATATATTCCTTTTTAATAACAAAATTTTGTTATATCTGTGGAATTTCAATCTTTTCATGTTTATAAATCGGCGAATAACAGAACGAGGAATTCAGTTACTTAAAAATCAAAAAGTTGTTTCACACCATCACACCGAACTCCGGTCCACGGTTAAGAAATATTAACGTAATATAAAACTTTATCAAAATTTCTTTTTTAAAATATATACATATATATAAATATAATTATTCGTATTATTGATTAATAAATATAAACATCAGAAAAAAAATACATGTACGGTACCTGTAACCATTCCAAACAAGTTTTGTTAAAAATAAAGGTTTTATATTTCACACCAATCTCAACAGCCTCGATAGCTCAGTAGTTAAAGCGTTCGCCCTCGAATCTGAAGGTCGTGGGATCGAACCCTGTTGAGAATGCTTTTTTTCATTTATTTTTTTTTTTTAAATTTTCTTTCTTTTACATTATTTTCGCTGAATTAACAAATGTATAAACTCGACATATATAATTTTTGTGAAGAAATCATGATAAAAATAATATTTAACCCGTAAAAGCAGTTTTATCGACTGGGTAATGGTGACTTAATGGTGGCTTAAAGGTGGTTTAATGGTAGCTTAATGGAGTTTGGACATTAAGCACCTATAAGTCTGGCTTAATGGTGGCTTAATGGTGACTTAATGATTGTCTAGAAGCTACCATTAAGCACCTATAAGCCACCATTAAGCCACCATTAAGCTACCTTTAAGCATCCATTAAGAACTTTGATATGGCTTAATGGTTACTTAATGGTGGTGTATTTATTACTTAAATGTAGCTTAAAGGTGCTTAATGGTGACTTAAAGACAACCATTAAACCATCATTAAGGACATATAAGCCACCATTAAGCCAAACTTAAAGTAAGTGTTTCATCTTGTGATCATAAGCAAAAAATGATAAAAATAAATCAGCGTACCTCATTCTTAATCTTTAATTCCTAATGAATCACATA